ATAATTAAAAATTTAAAGAAACCTGATTTTTGAAATTTAAAACATATTTTGGTATTTTTGAAATAGGTAAAAGTAAAGGCCTGATTTATGTATTCTTCCCTTAATTTATCCCTCGTGAACTTGATACGTTGATAGTTACTTTGGGCGGTTGATCTTGATAACAGATCAACGTAGTCAAAGAGGGTATAAATAAAACCCTTTGTTGTTGTTCTAATTTATTCTAATCGTCTTTTTTTTTTTATTTTTTTGTCGTTTTCTAGAATTCTCTTAGGTATTTTCGTCTTCGTCTTCTCTTCAATCTTCGACCTTTGGTTGAAAGATTTCTGTGTGAAATTAAGAATATGAGTGATTATTTGGTGAGAACAGTGACGGTGTGATTTACGTTTAAGTTCTTTTGTCCATAGAAATAAATTCAATAAGTCTGTTTGAGGGTCTTGGTCCTATGAGTAATAAGCTTCAAATTGAATTATACTAATTTGTTGTAAAATTCGAATGTTTTGAAACCTAGTTATGTTGGTTGTTGTTTGGTTAACTACTAAGTTTAACCTAATTATTATCTAAATTTGTTTGAAAACTATATGTGAGAAGAATATGTTAAGATTCTTTGAGGCTCTGTTTGATATGTAGGAGTACAATAGTAGCCTGTTTTGTGTGATACTATGATGCTTTGAAAAAGAACTTGAAGAGTGTGTTGTATTGATATGAAAAATATATTTTAGAAAAGAAAATATTTTCCTTATTTTGAAAAAAACAAAAACCTACTTCCCATAAAGAAAATGTTTTTATCAAAAATAAGGAAAATTAAGCATATTTTTAAAAGTTAGAAAATATTTTCCATGTAAAAAAAATAGTAATAAAACACTTCAAAGTAGAAATTTGGATGAAAAACTAAAATTTTTCATGGAAAATAAATGCAATCAAACACACCCTTAGGGTTTTTAATTTTTTATAAAGTGATTTGAAATTTTTTATATATTATAATAATAAACAATCTTTTTTTACATAATAATACAATATATCAAAATGATTAACCTACAAATAATCAAAATACAAACTACGTCATGGGACGAAATACAATTTTTTTTTTTTTAGATTAAGCCACTGTTTGGTATAGCTTAAATAGTGAATTAAAAGTTAAATTGAAGGTAAAAATTAATTTCAATCACACATTTTATGCGATTCACAACTTTTCAACCTCATATTTCATCAATTTTTATCAAAATTTACTAATTCTTTTTTTTTTTTTATGTACTCCAAACAGAGACTAAATGTTAGATGATGTATGATGAAAAGTAACAAGTAGATAGAGATCTTGTTTGACTATTAATTTATGTACAAACTTATTTGTACAATTATAGATAACAATTTTTGTCAATCAACATTGTACAAACAGCTTAATTCTTAATTAATTAGGTGAAAAATATAATAATTTGTTGGAAATATGTGATTTTGTCTTACAAGCAATTCAGTTAGTAAAATCTTAAGGACAAGTTCATTTGTTGATAACTGAATTAGGTGGGCTGTCTTGGAGCAAACTATGCCAACACTTTCAACATTGTTTTTTTTCTATCTCTAGAACTATTTCGCACTTCCATGATTTTTTTTTTGTTTGTTTTTTGTATGATATTTTCAACCATTTAGATTAAGTAAAAATAGTTAAAATCAGAAAATCGAATCGAAATCATTGATTTGGCGCCAGTTGAACCCGTCAATAAAACATTTTTGAATTAAGTCAAATAGTTTTAAAATAGTTTGGTTTAGGTTTTAAAATTTTTACTACGAGAGTTGCTTAAAAATTAAAAAAGAAATGCCGGAAATTAGACTGGTAAGTTGTAATCTTAACCTCAAAAATAAAATATAACTAATACAATTATAAAACAAAAAAACGAGTAAAATGATCAATTTTCCATTACCAAGTACCAATAATTATCCTAATTTCATAACACATTATGAATAAATCCGCGCAGCATATATCAAAGTCAATTTCCTCTTCTTCCTCTTCCTCTTCCTCTTCTTCTTCTTCTTCATGCGGCAAACATTCAAAAACAAAAATTCCCATGATACCTACGATTTTCATTCTCAAGTCAATGGTGACAATGATTTTCACTAACTCTATGTATACTAGGATTTCTGGGTTTAGTACTTGTGAGTGTATTCTATTGGACGGCTGGTACAATATTCTGAAGG